ACTATAATGAAGGCGAAAAGTCTGGATATGTACAAAGCTAATGGTCCTATGCTGGAAATCGTCAATAAATACTTTGGCAGAGGACGAAAGACTAGCTACGTTCTCACAAGGTCTCCCTTCCGCTCAGACCAAGTTTCGAAAACGAGGTCAAGAATAAGTGAAGTTCTTTGGTTTTGTGAGACTTCGGTAAAACAGCGAGTTTGGATGAGAGGACCCGATAAAGATTAAACTTAAAAAAATAGGTGCTCAATGTGATACTGACTAACTTAGGAGCATGTTTGGAGCATACAGCACGGGCTAGCTAATAAAATAAGACAATCAAAATGATTGTACTAGAAATAACAAAGAATCGGCATTGTCAGCTGTGTATCTTCTACAAACAGATAATATAGAAATAAGCGTAGCTTCCATTTTGCATCAAACGACATGATAAAAAAGATTCAGACTGTCAAGTTTTAGGCTAATCAGGGGCGCTGGTTCGTGTGCAGGGTTCCAGGTCCCTTTCAGAGAATTAATAAGTCAAGGATATTCCATTTTTAAAGGAAATAAAAAGGCCAATCAATTATTCCATGTTCTTAAAAAGTGTAAGAACATCCTAAAGGGTTTAGATAATTTATAAGAATCTGGCACTATATTTGATAAAAGACACTATGGTGAGAAGTGATCACAATAATATCTACAATAAAAATAATTCTTCATAAAATTAGTTTGTGCTAATTTTTCTAACTCGACAGTGACTTCAAGAAGACCATGAATAACGTCTGACAAAAGGCGCTCTATGCCAAAACTAGCCCTGATAGTTTCCAGGATCGGATGGTATACAGGGAACATGTACAGGAATTTGCTAAGTCCATTGTCCGATGATAGAAATTATCCAGACTGCTATAAGAGAGGGCGGTGGACAAAATGGATTGTTCGAGTACTCACTAACAAATTGAGCAAACGAGATCAGAAAAGTCCTATACTTCGAAGCAGGACTAAGAGCAAAATATAGGCTACATCACGTTGGTAGTCATACATCCGATTAATGAATCTTTTGTCAATAATATAATATTTAAAGAACTGAAAAAAGTGCGAGCCAAAAATGCTTTGTAAGCTTGGCTAATACTAATAAAAAAATATTATACAATAAAATCCGTTGGGTATGACGAAATTTAGGTAACATATATTGTAAATGTCAGCTACCTATATTGGCAGGCCTACTTTTTGAGTACTAACATACAAATTCAATGTTTTGTATTTCAGATAAAGTATTCGTTTTTTTAAATTAAATCCTTACAGAGGCCATCTTCATAGTTCCAATGTTAGCATTTAGAAACTTCGAATCATGTTGACGATAAAAAATCTAGATTTAACTGTGAAACCAAGCAAATTAATCTGACCTGCCATCCAGATCCATGTTTTGCTGCAATGTCCAGTCCACCAGAATCAATGCCCATACCAGGTGTGCGGTCCTCAGTAGAGATGCGCCAACGCTCTGGCTCTAACTGTGGCCGGGGGATGTAGGAGGCCATGCCAGTAGAATGGCCTAAGAAAACCCCTCCTAGACCACCATCTTTCATTGTTAAAGCTCCTGGATGTCCTAACAGCCTAGCACCGGGGTCCATAGCAGCGTCTCTGGCAACAAGTATGTCACCATTGTAAGCTATTGTACCACCGCTAGGCGAAGAGTGACCGTTCCCTGGGTAGTGTCGCCGGGTGCCTAAAGCCGAAATGTACTGATTGTTCTGGTTGACAGTGGGAGTGAAAGTATGGTATATGGGGACGCCATTCTCATCATGACCATGTAACTCAGGCTGATAGCCATATTGATTTGCCCCATTCATACAAGTACCTGGAGGGATAGGACAAAAAAAAGAAAAAAACAGAACTTAAATTTTTCCAGGTTATGATCAAGTCGTAAGCAAAAATGATCATCATGAAGCATCTTTGCAAGGGGTCGAAATACAACAGGATTCATAATATGAAGAAAACTATGATTAGAAGAATTCCTAAGCGAATTGTTGTTATATGAATCTTCATTTCGAAGAAAAAGTTGATTAAAGGCATTCGCGAAATGGTCTCAACGAAAATCGACGAAATCAAGACTGCTAAATTGTGCAAAGAAGTCCTCGGCTCATCGTCCAGAATTTTATTAGGCTTACACTAAATAAATAATAAAGTAATAGCTACATACTGTCTGTAGACAAGTTCGCATTTTAAAAATGCTGATTAAAATGCATAAAGTAGGCTTAGTGCTAATGTTAAAAATAATTCGGCATCCTGAACAATGCAGCAATTTTAACTACTGTGGACGAAAACCGACTAGAAGAACTAGAAGAATATTCGTATTAGAGTAGGGTTTCGAGACACTAGAAGAATAATCAGCAAAATAACTAAAAAACACATTTGCGGAAACATGGACACAGTAAGGTAAAATAATAAAATAGCTTGCAAAAAAAGCCAAAAAGATCAATAGGAATGCAATTAAAACTGACCTGATAGTTAAAAAACCAAAGTGGAAAAAAAACGGAAAATTAATAAAGAGAATGGAAGATGAAAAAGTTAGAGATAATTGTGTTCATTGTTTAATCAAACTAGGATAAAACTGATGATAAGCAATATCATCAAAGAATGAGTTTGAATAAAAGATTTAATATGAGCAATAGGAAAAAAACATTGCCATGATATGACTCGTGAGGAACAAATGGTAATCAGAATGCAAAAGGTCAATGCAATTAGTCGAGCCAAGGAGCCAGCTATGACAGGTAAGTGGGGGATACAGAGACGAGTCATAAAGACCTTAAGAGGTCTCTGTTGTGGATTAGAAGTTTAGAGTCCAGATATACCAAAAATCAATTTAAATGCTAAAGCAGGTTCTATGGACATGATAGGGTTTAATCAGTGATACTCCACTACGCCAATACCAAATCATGAAATGAAAGAACTCAAGTATACACGCCAAGCTGAGTGGAACTGAACCACATGATTAGCTTTGATTTAAATCGTAGAGGGATTATAAATTCGAGAGCGAAATGAGGGTCATATTCGAGGTAGAATTGGGCTGAAGCTCCATATTCGCTGCTTAAAAGGAAGAGACGATTTACTAGGCTATACTAAAGGTGTTGGGACCCAATAATCAGAAAAGCTATGAAAATTGGCATACAATGCTAGTGGATAAAAGCCCTCTGGTAATATATCGTAATTAAACATTAAAAAAAAATATAGAAAAAAAGCACAGAATTATCGCCTGAATAGATAATATATGAGAAAACACTAGGGAAAATAAATAACTATAAAAAACTATGGGCGCATTCACATTTCAAACCCCACGATGATATACCAATTTAAGTTAATAGTTCCGTTTTTAAAAATGTTGACGTTTTTATTACATCAAAATAGTTAGCAGAATAAGATAAAAATAGAAAGAATGGAGAAGACAGAGAAAAAAAGAAAGAAAGCATAAAAAGATGATAATGATAGAAAGTGAAAATAATTACGAAGAAAAGTAGGGTTTAGGCAGCGGGATACGAGGGTAAAGAGTAGATAAATAGGCCAGGACATAAAGAGGAGTGATAGTGTCACCGTTTTCAACAGAACGTTTGTCGAGGGATTCAATTCACTTGTCTCTTGGAAGAGTTCGTAGCTTCGTGCAGAGAATTACAAAACTCACTAATGATGCCGACTACGATGTCGGCGAAACGTTTGAGAATGCATCAAGCCAATTGTCAGATGCTGGGAATCATGACAACTACTATGGCAGACGACTTCCGACTAGGTGCGTTGTACAGAGTTTCCCTGAAAACAAGACCAAGTTGCTACTACGAAGTCAACCCACTTCTATAAATCGAAAAAAAACTGCGACCATACCAGAGGACACATCTTGGTCTTCA